TCTTCCTGTCGATAAAAATAGTGAGTCGCTCATTAGTTTAACCTCTATAAATTGTTCTGAAAGGTAAATATGCACTTAACTGTCTCCGATTCATGAAGACAAATGGATAAGACATTACTGGAGTAGAAATCAATACTGAAAAATTTCAAAATTTATTGCTTTTCACACCTTCAGTTCAGTTCCGACTACTTGAGACTTTGTCTAAAAATTCAGCTCGATGTTAAAATGTCACAAGCTTTTAGAGGTCTTGTAAATGGCATCTCTAGTAGTAGAGGTACGTTTCGGCATTTTTGGAATCCTCATCAATACCACGTGCCTCTTGGTTAACCCCTACAACTGGTGGTAGTGGCGCCGAAGAAGACATGTTGTAATGATGATGTTTGCGAGAAAGCCGAAACGTAGGTCTACCACTTAAGGTGCCATAAACCAGACCTCGGAAAGGCTTCAAACATTCTATCAGATCACCTTTTTTATTTGATGGGTCTTGCTTTCTTTGTGTTTACATTTACCATAACTGGTCTGTTTAACCGCAACATGAACCACTGTGAAATAGCAGACATATTGTTGCAGGCAAAATTTTGATTCATTCAATTGAAATCCAGTCGTAACATTGAGTCACGAAACTTTTGTTATCTACCTCTCTCTTCACGCTCCACACCAATAACTGGGCTAAAAAGAAACATGTTCCAAACGGCTACTGATGTGCGTACAGAAAAACAAAAAAGAGATTACTATCGCTGAAATTGTCACAGCAACTCAGTATTTCGTTTGGTTACGAAATAATAAACTCTCCGCGTAGGTTTAGAAAAAAAAGAAAACTTCTCCTTCTTTCCAATCAAAATAAGACCTGTCAGACCTGCCTCATCTTCAACAAACAAGCACTGCGTTGAAACGATAATACGACAGGAGCGCTCTGCAGATTTTTGTAGCAATAATCGGAGTATCACCGACGTTAACACGGCAGTGTGTGAGGTCAGGTACGGTGTGCCTGATTCTTGTGAGGACGTCTCAGAAGAAATAACGTTCAGTCTACTTTGCATCAGTATCAAGCGCACAAAGAGAATGTTAAATCAAACAAAGCACATCACTTGAGCATGCATGAGTACAGCAACATAACAGGGAGGATTTTGAAGTAGAGATCAGCAACCCAGTACAAATTCAGGAGATGAGCCCGCAAAAGTGGAAAACCTCCACAAAACCAGAATTAAACGACAACTACATGAGTACATTATCATCACACGGAATTTTACGCCATATTAGGCCAATTTTTTAGCCAGAAGACGGGACACAGATTCCGTTCAACTCAAAAAGCCTATAAAATAGCAGTGAGTACTCGAAAGAAGCTACTTATTGAGAGTTCAGTCTACTCGCCCTGTTTTACGAGGTCTTCAGTACTTCAGTGAGTTGCATGGGATTTAAGCCATCCAAACTTTGAAGAAGATAAGACATTTGAAATGCTAGCTATTGTGAATAGATGGTCTACTAGCAATATTAGGATTGTTACTTGAGAGAACAGTGAAATATTGATCAATGTTGAGGTTATTATGCCTGTTGATGCCCTTTGAGATTTGTAAAGAAAATGCAATTTTTACTGACTTGGGTATAAATGTTACTAGATCAAGCCCGTTGCAGCTGTTTGACTTATTTATATAAGAGTTAACTTCTTCTCACACTATATAGTTAGGAATCATCTCGCAACAACGTAGTTTTATTCATCGTTTTTTGAGAGAAAAACCGGAAAGCTCCATTATCAAGAAGTGTTATGGTTTTATACCAGTAATCTCAGCATTGTAAATATGTGTCAGTGAAATGGGTGGTTACTCTAATATCAAACTCGCACAAGCACGACTCGCTTTTTTTATTCCATACAAATGCAGTTGTACTCTGCTGAAAAGTGTTGTTCCGAAAATGCTGATCCGCAAACGTCATCCATGACCCATAAGTTGTTCCCACTTGTGAAGTGTTGCTTTGGTGAAAATAGATAATGAGACAATTCCTTCAGCTTTTTTGCAACCTACACCACTGATCAACTCAACCTTGTGTTGGCCTATATTTTACTTTTGAGACTATGTAGTATCGCTTCCAAGTAGAGTATGAGCCTACAGTTCTGCATGACTCGCTTCTTCAGTGATTTCCTCTGAGAAACTCTGATGTAGCCAATGCTTCCCTATTCCTTGTGCACAATTCACTTCAGATGATGTTTACCATTCTCATTAAGCGATTAAGCGTTTGAAAAACAAGTGCAGTGTGTGTATTCAGTAGTCAAGAAACCATCTTTTTGAATTTTTTACTAACACACACCTTGATCTGGCAGCTGCTTTTTCTTGCGACCGATTTTGGCTACTTTTTACTATTAGTTATCCCTTACTTGTCATAAGGTTGCTCTAAGATATTCCTGGATTGCGGTACCAAGTTCACCAATCACGATGCAAAGTAAGAAAAGATTTTAATTCAAAAACTGAAAATGATGTTGTTTGAGAGCATTGCTGAGACAATTATCTATCTCCACAAATATTACTTGCTTAGCGACTTATCTTCATAAATATTGATTGATATCAAAATTGAACATGTAATATCAAAATTTGCTTACATATCCATCACCGACGTTTTTCGCACTTTTGTTCGGTCCGAATGATGCGGCGGTGTGAAATTCTCTCTGCATATCTGTTTCGATGTCTTCCCAGGTAACGTGTGTTTCGAATAGTCCTTCGGCAGGTGTGTAGATATTCATCCTGTAGGATGTGCTCAGATATCAAAGCGAAACAAATATGAATACTTCAGTCGTCTATTACAATGAGCAATTCAATTGCGATATGTTTCTTAATAGTTTTGTAGAGCTATTATTACATATTATAGAAATCAAAGATCAGTCATGTAATAAACGTGATCGCTGATCATATGTTGTTCTTGTGCGTAATTACATCTTCGATTAAACTCACTCGGCTGCATTACTGTATAGGAAACATAAAATTTCGACGCTTTTTCCAATGAAAAAAAATTTTCTAGCGATTTCAAATTCACGATGTTGTTAGCTAATCATCACAACATATTATTCTTATGCATTAAAACACTTATCCAAGTGATATTTCTACTAAAGATCAATTATCAATGAAGGGTTTTGTAGTTTCAACACTTGTGTTTCAGGTACGGGCGATGAAATTCTGCCTGCAATGGTTTATAGTCTAATCTTAGTGTTCTTTGAAATTACATGTATTGCCATAAAGAGGCAACACGTTTCCTACCTACGGAAAAAGGCTCGGGTTCATTTATCCTTGAAGAAGACTACATTTTTCAGCTTTTCACATTCGATGGGACGTGAAAAGATAGGCTATTATAGCTTAATGCTGACGCGAACACCCAGGTGATTACGCCTATGGACTTAGTCACAGCAGGAAAACAATTGAGTGCATTAATTTGAAACTCGCTGACATGATAATGTAATAACGTATCGTCAATAGATAAGACAATAGATGGGAAGGCCGTCTTTTTTTTGAATGTTTGTAGAATCTAAAAATGAAGTGGGAAGGAGGGTTTTTGGTATGCGAAGGCGATGGCATAGTGACATTAGAACAACGTCCGAATCGAACAATATTGTCACTGTGTGTCAACTAACTCTATCGAAAACTAGATCTTGAGGAGTATGTTTTCTGTCGATAGAGGCGTATTCCCTTGCTTGGAAACCTTGAAGAGTCTTCACGAAGAGGGAGTGCTTAACAGCGGCTAGGTGTTGGCTACATATATAGCGATTTCTCTATTCCAGCTTGTCTTTAGAGTTTCAAAATACGAAAATGACTGGTGAAATTAGCTAAGAAGAAGTAACTTTAAGCGTAGAATCCATTTCCGTCTTGTTTCCGAATTCTCAGTTGTCAAAATATAGCGAAAACTGCGCAAATATTAAAAGAGATGGAAGGATAGAACGTTAATATCGTTGCTCTCTTGTAAAATTACTCTTCAAGCGTTCTAACACAAATACGCTTAGTCGTTCGTTGCCTCAAGAGAGTTGTCGGCTTTATGTTTACCGAATAACGCAAAGATACATTCAAACTTCGTATAAATTCATGCTGCGAACCCTCAAATCAAGTGTTTGAGCCTCATGTCTGAATTTTCTGTCAATTCAGCACTATAGAGCCACTGATAGGAAAAATTGATCCCAACTAACTAGTTTAGCATCTAGACAATTCGCGAGTTTTGAGAAAGCTGTAGCTTGATTGTTCCAAGACTTCGGGAAGAAGCGACTCAGTCAGCGTTCGACGCCATCTTTCAGAAAGACAACAATCGAGTCAGCCGTACTCACAAGCGTTAATTTTGAAAGTAAGGCCTTGGCTCAACTCCGGCACCTTAAAATGCTATTTCCGAGACTTTGAAGAGATTTGATTAGACCCACATTTTGGGACGTTCATAAACCGATTATGAAATCTTTATGCAGCTATCGAGAAAACGTGTGAAATGTTCCGAACGCCCTCAAATCGATGGGAGGTTAGGAACCGTAAGCCAGAAGGAATGGGATCTGCATAGTAGTCGTGATGATAGGTCATGTAAAATAATAGATGATCTTGCCTCATATTTCAATTCATTGGAAGCACTAGATCTGGAAAACACATTCATAAAAAGATAACGGCATGAAAACATTTAATCAGAGTTCAAAGATGAGAAATTCATACCATCAATTTGTTGATATGGTCAGAGGGACTATCACTTGCGGGGATTTTCTATTGGAGGTTACGTGTCACAGAACTGTTTGGTTGCTTTCAAATTTTCCTATTGTTGATTGGAAACAAAACGCTAAGAGTCTAAGACTTGAGAAACATTTGAACGGTGAGTATTTCAAAATGAACTATCTTCAAGCGATCCAATGATTTGTTCATTGCATCTATCCCTCAACGGTTACAAGAGTATTTGACTGAGTAAAGTGTTCGAAAATTCTAAAACACAACTGCATGTTTCGCAGTGTTATTATACTTCATATAGACCTAAGAGAATCGAGAGGTAAGCAAAAACACACCCTCAAACAGGAATCGAACCCGCGCTTCATCCTATCCGGGGGCACGTGCTAGACCACTACACCACAGAGGCACAATTGCGTCACCACTCATTCTTCAACACCTCTGTGTTAGCTTTCAGCCACCAACCTTTACTAGGCTTAGTTGGGTATGCGGTTTCGCATCATAAACCCAGTTGAACTGACAAAATTTTGAGCATTAGTTTTTAGAATTGCTAACAGCTCAACTGGATTTATAAAGCAAAATCGCAAACCCGACTAACTCTGTTAAAGGTTGGTGGCTGATAGCTGATATAGAGATGTTGAAGAACGAGTGGTGGCAAAAATGTGCCTCGGTGGTGTAGTGGTGGAGCAGGCGCCCCCATAGGATGAACGCGGGTTCGATTCCGGTCTGAGGCCTTGTTGGTCACCACTCAATTTTCTTATGTGAGTAAATTGCGATTAATTTGGTCTCTCCAGACCCTGAAGGAAGAAAAACTCTCCTAAACGCCAGCCACTGTGTCATTATTGTGCTGTATTACTAATGTGCTCTATGATTGCTATTATTAAGAAGCCTGAGACTGCTTATCAAAAAACACTGAATTACATCACGATCTCACTATTTTTTACGTTCCATTCTTTTTTCGAGGAAGGTCTTCCAACATTTGCACTTTGTTCCAAATGTATATAAAAATCTTTCTATGTCGTGAACCTGGAAATCAGACTTCCACAGACTTCAAAGACACACAGGGTGAAGCGTCCTTAGGAGGGCTGCCAGAAACGGAGTGTTCTCATGCAAGTCTTTTTCAATTTCGCTACTCCGGCGAGAGGAGAAGCTTCGTAAGCACAGAGTGCAGTCAAACCCTCGTCTGATATGATAATAGGCACCACCGCCATTGCTTTACGTGCCCTCTGATCAAACCACTGCGTTTGGCAATGTTGCTTTTCTTGCCCTCTGATCAAACCACTGCGTTTGGCTATGTGTCAAATCCGGGTAGAATAGCTTTTTCCTCAAATTGGCTCATTTACACTCCTTTAACCACTATGAAATTGCTTAACATACTACGTATTAGACGGGCTTTTTTTCTGTTAGCATTGCGTGAAATTGCATCATCTGCTTTCGCCCTTTGACTAACATGTTGTCTTTTGTCAAAGCATATCTTCTTATTTCATAAGTGCTGTCTGAACCAACTTTTCATGTGATTTGCTAGATGGGCCGTCTTTCAACCGCACACTCTCGTCAGAACCCTTCGACCTTTAACCAATCCTCTGTGGGTGCTCCCGTCCCCCCACATATCTTCTTAGAGAACTCATCAATACTAAACTTTATCGCAATCGGTTGTAGAATCACCTCAATCAAGGCCAACAATCTATAAGTTTGACCGATTCGAGATATATTTTAAGATATTGAGGGATAGTTGAAAGCGGGCAAAGAACATATGAACTTAGGATATGGACTCAATCTTTCTACATTGCAGAACTGACATATAGCTTTTCTGTACAAGCGATAATTTCTTACATGCACATAGGCTTCTCAGATTCTGTAAAGCGTGCTTCGGGCCTGGTTTTATTCATAAGTTAATGTACGACAATGAGTGCTATGGCCTTTGTTGATTTTAGTCTCAATTACCCATAAGCATTTGAATTAATTCTTCGATTGTTCAAGGATTGAATTTCTTGACACAAAATATCACTTTCGGATCAAAACTTTTATCAGCACGATCTTTAAAAATAAGACGCCAAGACGAGCCGAACGAATGAAATTTCTACAATGTCGTCTTGCTGACTTGATTATTGAAGAAGCTGACCGAAAATTTCTCAGCGCCATCTTTCCTATCGCATATTTTCAAAATTTCTCTACAGTTGCATATGCTGCCTTGATCAAGTTGCGTAATTTTGCCTCGAACAGCCCCATGACAATGACCGATTCTCCCAACCCACATCATCAGCTCCTCAGTCAACAAATGCAGTGTAGATAAATGTGCGTTGCGAGTGCACATCGGCACCTTAATTGTTCAGTCAACTGTTTTTTTGAAACTTCGTTAAAAACCTTATTGACATATATGCATGTATATATGCATTTGTATACATATATATTTATATGCATCTATATACATATACATATATATAAAGAAATATATATTGTCTTTGAGAGTAATCGCAGCCTTTTTCTAGTTTTTTTTTTTTACGTTACAGTTTGTTCGAGGCCAATGCCGACGTTTTGGCAATATCGCCATCATCGGAGCTACTCGCCCTATCACAGAGATGAGGAGTATCAATGTCACGCTGACACCTAAAGGACCTGTGCCTGACAACGTAATTACAGTAGACTGCTTATGGTTGGTACGAACAAAGTATATTACTTTTCAATCGCTCAGTTTTTGAGTCAACGAGCCCGAAATTAGTCTCAGCTTCTGGCGGATTTTGCATATTTGTCGAATGGAAGAGTTAGGAAAACGGATTCGCTTATTTTACTGTGCTTAGTTTATGCTACCCATCTAGAGCCTACTTGAGCTCTAAAAGTGGAGATCGGTTGATTTAGTATGGGTAAACTAGCAAACTCTTCCAAGGCAGGCGTCAAACTCATTTATTTTAGTTGAATCTTGACCACCCTGTGTGTACTTTCCAGCGTCGTTGTTTGCGGGCTTTTTAGTTAGACTGCACAATACAGGAAATCCGATAAACGAGAATATATTTGTGAAAATACATTAGATGCGCACTATCTGGCGCCGCTCCTAATCGAATAAAGATTTCTCACTGCGGGATGTTTGTATGACGTTCCAATTCAAGAAAAGTTATAGTTTGAAACTCAAAAGTGGCCATCTATTCGTAAATTTCAGATTAACATGTTTTCTTAAAATCCTACAAAAGAAATCTCAGCCACAAGCTTCTTTCAAAAACGTTTGATCGCAATGATAAAAGAAATGTTCTGTAGAAAAATGAGCATGAGTATGGATGGCTATGTGGAGAGCGTCAGCGTCATTGCACTAGGTTGGAAAGAAGATTCCATCGTTTGATCATGCATTGAAAATTTATGTATATTCAGACAATAAATAACAACAACTGTTCTACAAAATACAGGCCAGCATTACCCACCACTTTTTGACATCGGTCCGCCAGGTTTTGAATCTGATCAAAGTACCACTACTTCGGCTTTGAACCAAAGAACTCTTGATCTGCTTCTTCAACTTCATCAAAAGATTCCAATTGGCGACCTTCCAAAAAGTGCTGCATTGATCCGAAAAGGCCGTAGTCAGATGGAGAAACGGCCGGAACTATAGGGTGGATGCGGTAAAATCCCAGCTCCGTCCAATTACTAGCACTTTGCTTTGGTCTTTTTGGATGCGTGTGGTTTTGCGTTGTCCTGCTGAAATAAAGCGCGTTTTCGCCTAACAAGTTCTGGTGATCTTGGGCTGACGGTCAACTCTTCATTTCCGGCCTTACACTGGCAAAATCTTTTCGAAAAATGAGATTCTCCAGTCGTACGGTGGCTCCGAGATTTTTTGATTCGGCGAGCAGCATCAGCAGCATTTGAACCAAATTTGTACTCGTAAAGCATGACCCATTCTGCAGTAGATATATACAAATTATACATCAATAGATGCGCAAGAAATAGGCATTTCAAATGATATGAAGATCACACACGATTTATGCGAAAAACCACATTCCCGTCTAAACGATGGAAAATTTCTTTCCAACCTATTATATAATGGCAGGTAAAATGAAAAGTTGAGAAATAGCTTTCCTTAATGAGCTTCAGACACTCGCCCCAATCAAAAGGACCATGAAGTTGAGTTCGGCTTAAACTGAAACTTTTGAATAAACACTTATTTTTATTTGCGACACTTCTCAGAGCACAGAGCATTAAATCAGTGGAACAGTGACTAGGACATGGTAGGGCACAGGAAAAGTGGTATATCCAACATTATAGACTTCATGCCAAATTCTGAGACCCAAATCTTTTTACTTGAATGCAATACTAAGTTTGAATATTCATCATATTCTATTTCTCTTTATTCGTATCATTCGTTTCTTTTGCGTTCCATGTTGCGATGATGGTAACAAAGCAGATCATCCAGAAGGCACGCAATCTTCTCTATTACGATTTCAAGGCTCTGCGACGACCTCACACTTATTTGCCATTTTGGAACCTATCCTTGTTTCTTTATTCCTCTTCACTAATTTTACCAATTTCATTGAATATGGATTCAACGGAGGAGAGTATCATGAAGGCGACAACAGTGAAAAACCGGCGATAAGATTCTTTGAGCTGAAAGTACTCTTTCAGTCTTTATGACAACCTTCACAGTTGAGAGTTTCTTTGGATTGATTCGGTCGGCCTATGATGGATACATAGAATTGCATTTTTTTTTTGCTGCGCATCAACTGCGCATCAAAACAACGTGTGAACAAGCCTGCATTGATGTGTAGGACATCTCTTTGCTACCACATTTACAAGTATTCGTGGAAAATTTCCAAAAATTTTCCCAGTATTTTTGCCAGTCCTTTCCGCTATGACATGCAGACATCACACTGAGAAACATCCAAAGTGAGCTATTTGAAATATGGTCTAGTGAAAATCGAATTAGCGACTTTTATTATTCAAAATTTATCACTTACCAAAATGCCATTACTGTCAGTAGTAAAAAAACGTGAAAAACTATTCCCCGTCACCTGTCACACAGTTGACCGTCGAGTGACTGAACTGAGAGCCAGTAAAATTTAAACTCGTTTTTGTTGCTTAAAACACTAGCATATTTTGTTCTGCTCTTTCTAACGGCCACCTTCACCTGATTTTGAGCATTATCGCTTGCACAGCAAGATTTCTCAACTTCACTCGTTTACCTAGGATAACTTTCTCCCGCCTTACTTATGAAAAAAATTCTTGGCGTTGATCATATTCTGGAAGATGCGTCATATATAGTTTTTATCCAGCACCGTTGGAGGTAACTGAACGGATATTTGGTTTTCACAATGACAAGCGGTGGCCTACCGATGTGTCGAGTCAGCACATTATCATCTCAGACAAGGCCGGTACCATTTTATCAACCGAAGAGATGGAAGTCTTGTTAGGCTACGGGCGCGGAATCCAATCCATCGACCGTGTATGCCACGTGCCACTTCTGCCACTATACCACGTGTATGCTGAATGATGACTTATGTCATAACAACGATTACATCAGCCAAGATGATGTTGGTCATTGATCTTCACTTCCATGCTGTCCTATTCTAATGCAGCATGAAGCACTGGATTTCGGGAGTAAATGATCTTGGCAAAAATGGTAACGCTTAGCCGACCTCGGTCTTTTCTCTAATGACAATATCATTGTTGAATGGTGATGTTTTAATTGTGAAATCTTCACATGGCTCCCAAAAAATTTTAACGCTTTGAGTATGGACGCCTTGGCTGTCCACGGTTCCTGCAACTGTTTCTGTCTCAACTAAGTCAATAACATTCTTTCAAATCGATGTAAAGGGCCAAGATGGTCTCTTGTACTTCCACGACGTTTCAGTGGGTCTTCTTATCGTGAGGATATGGTTTAGCATTTCAGTAAAAACATAAACGTATTGATGTATAATATCGCCTGTTTTCAAAACCTCGCAATAAAGATTCAAAATAATTCCGAAAAAGAATGCTAAAGCCTAAACGAGGTTTGTACGCCGGGGCCATACACCGGTGTTTCGGAGGCTTCGGCCTCCTCGTCAGTGACCCCCGCCCCACATTAAGCCTTGTATTAAAGCAAGGAGGGAAGCGTATGTGGTGATGGCACAGTGTACAATGACACTGGTCCACCACCACTTCTCAGTCGATGAATTTTTTAGCTGGTAGAACAAAATTAATCTAAACATCGACTGTTTTCAAAACTTCGCAATAAACATTCAAAATAGTTCCAAAAACGAATGCTTCGAGCCTAAACCAGGTTTTGATGTAGGGTGGGGGTCACTGAAGAGGAGGCCGAAACCTCCGAAACACCGGTGTATGGCCCTGGCGTACGAACCTCGTTTTGGCTTCAAGCATTCTTTTTTGGAAATCCATGTATTAAATCGGCGCAGCGGGAACAGAGAGTTAACCCCGAGATCAACTTATGTCCCGTAGAGGAATGAGATCGCTTTTGCACTGCGTCTTGACCTCTGCTCTTCACTTGTATAGTTAACCACCTTCGCTTCGTGAGTGACCAGCAGCTAAATCTCAGTGAGAGGAATCCGTGGTGTGCATTTGCGAGCGCATATATATATATATAAATATATTCGTAAATATAAAAGGATAAAGCTCTTAGTGTTTACCAATCCCTAAAAGGTGCGCCATACATTCTTTTAATTTTTCAACTTCGTCTGAGGTGACTGAATGCATATTCGGCCTTTGCAATGACTCGCGATGGCCTCCCGCTGAACCGACTCAGTGCTGCTTATCCTCTAACACTGCAAATATATTTATCTATTTGTTGAATATATAGGTTGCTTTTAGTTCTGATGTTTTACATTCTTTCGATTTCATCATTGACATGATATTTTTATCAATGCTGATAATTTTATTGAATCCTTTGTTTTATTTCCGTCTGAAAATCTGTTCTGGTTATTTGTCAATTTAATCTGTGCTTACGTTTCGGATCACGGAAACCAACGAACTGAAGCAGCTGCGTTGCGCAAGATGCTTGCACATGTTTCCACAGTGATTCGTTGCAAGCGCGTGCCAAAACCGTTTTAAGCGAGTCTACGCTAGTGTAGCGACTAGCCGAGAGTTTCTGCTCCACTATGGGCCACACGGAGTATGCCATTGGTTGAGAAAAGCAAATCTGGCAACCACATCCTTACGCCAAAAGCCTGGAAGATGCTCTTGGCAGACGGCAATCGTTTAACGGACCGACTGTGCAAGGCCTCAGTCCTGTTGAGGCGCAAATCTCTCGGACTCAAAGTGTTGAGTACGCCAGTGTCTCTACACACTTGAAACTTACTGGTGATACTTCTCCTATGATGAAGACCAACGACGTTTTTCCGGTGGCGCAAATGCCAACCCAGATCATCACAGAGGCCGGAAAATTATTATACCTTACGGTCTTGACTACTGCGACCTTCTAATGATCCTCCTTGAAAAGTTGACGTTCGTTATGGCGATTATGGAGTGGTTCGATTTGACACTCACTTGAGCATCTTGTGCAACTCAGCTATTGCGATTCGTTGATTTCCATGATCCATAACTTGAGCACAACTGTAAATAGACAATGATAAAGAGTGATGTGCGAAAACACTGGCGTCAGCTGGGATTCGAACCCACATTTCACCCTATAAGGGCGCGCTTGCTGAACCGTTGCACTACTAACGCCCGTTTTGACACCACTTTTTCTACGCTACAACTCGTTATCTGTTAACAGCCAACCGTCAACGGTCTGGGGGGAGGGGTAGTCGCTACCGACATTGAACCCGCTGACAGATATTGGTTATCAATATTCAATCACAATTCTTTTATATAACCGCCCTTAGCGGTGATAAGATGCTATAATATACCCAATGACAAAGATTAATGTGCAACGGTTCTCCAGTGCAGGCGTCAGTAGTGCATCGGTTCAGCAGGCGCCCGCGGATAGGGTGAAATGTGGGTTTGAATCCTACCTGACGCAAATGTTTTTGCACATCACTCCTTATCACGAATATACTATAAAATCTTACCGCCGCCAAATGCGGTCATATAAGAAGAATTCCAACTGAAAATGGATAAATGAATAAAATAGATTCTGCGCCGATACTGGTTAAGAAATCCAGTAAAATCATTGGCATAATAAAGAAGCATACACAAAAATACCAATAAACCAATAAATCAGTACTAAAATTAACAACATGAAAATTATCAGAACTTTCTACGCACCCTGTATATATTGGACATATATGTTAATATATGTAGGGAACTACAATAATATTAGTTTATAACACATTCTCAAAATTGCCTCGTTTGGTCTGTATACATTTACAAAGTCGCTTGCGAAAACTTCCAACGATTTTCACACGTTTCCATCGTAATTTCGTTCCAAGCGCACGTCAAAGTAATTTAAAGAGCGCCTACGGTAGTGTAGCGAGTAGCCGAGACTTGTTACTCCAGTATGCACCACCAATTCAAGTTCAAACAACGAAGTCCCAGAACTATCATAAACTGGGATGTATTCAAATCATTAGTCGGCTCATGGGAAGATACCTTTATCGACAACATCGACAAAAAATACGACTGGCTCATTGAATATCTTCACTTCAGCGCTGTGAAAGCCGAGAGTCCTAAGGTCACGAAGAGACAACGCTTCTCTCTGCAGACACTCGAGCTGATACGTCAATGTGGAAACGCACGAGATTCAGGCAAGCGAAACCACACGCCCGACCTTGCGAAACGCTGCAGAAAAGCGATGAAAGAAGGCCTTGAAGAGAGTAGAGTAACAATCATGGCCAAAGCTGCAAAAGCTGGAAAGTGCATTTGCAAAGCTCAGCGAGGCTTCGCCAATTATAAGACCAAGATGATTGCACTCCGATGCTCTGACGGGACACTAACAGCTTTCAGATGGGCTATGGAGAAAATCATCCATCAATACCATTCGGATCTCTTCGCTAGCCATGTCCTCATACCGTCATATCAATTAAAAGAGGATGAATATGTCGTTCCACCTGTCGTCCCTTCCGAAATCCGACATGCTATATCGTCGGTGAAGAACAGAAAAACTCCCAGGTCAGACAGGATCAAACCAAAACACCTGAAGAACCTGCCGCCAGCTCTCATCAACACCCTGGCTCGGCTCTCGCTACCTGTCAGAATGCAAGGTCCCCATTCAGTGGAAAACCAGCAAGACCGTATTGTTGTTCACATCACAAAGAAAGAGCTTCACGGCATAGGCAATTATCGCCCAATCTGATTGCTGTCCATTTTCTATAAACTCTTTACTTGAGTCATTCTAAACAGGATTGGCAGAACACTGTATGAAGGACAGCCGTGCGAACAAGCAGGATTCCGGAAAGGTTTTAGAACCATAGACCACTCCACACGATCACAAGACTCATTGAATTTTCACGAGAGTACAAAAATTCACTCTGTCTCACTTTCATCGATCTGAAGAAAGCCTTTGAGCAACTCCCAAGACCGACTGTCTATTAACCTCGGCATGCTTCAGTATGATTCTTGATTTTCTTCTTTGAGCAGAACACGAGGTGTTACATTAAACTTTATTCGATAGCTGACGTTTCGGCAGTTCGCCTTCTTCAGAGCCTGGAAAGGTCAAAATGTTTGCAATACAATCAGTCAAACACCTCCATTACTTCTTTAGAGAAAATCACCAGACCTAGATTTCAATCGCATCAAGCAAAAATCAACACTCAACATACTCACCGCTTTTTATATGTGTTCCACTGGATGATCCAAGTGGAGATCACCGGCAATAGAGACACATAGGCTCGTAATGCACCCTACCCATCAAAACAACAGTCTTATGTACTGGCTCATATCACGAGTGTTTACAAGGCATTCCTCCCTGCGGTTTATGGTTGGATTGGTCGCATTAATCCAAAATGCTTCCAAGATCTTTCGCGCTGATGTTTTTTGCTCCTGCGCAAGGATGGTGACTTCGATTTCAAAATCAACTCCGTCGTGCTTCTGTGCTCTATGCGTCCCTAGCGGGGTGTTTTGTCTATTAAGACGCTTGTCAGCTAGGTGTTCTTCTATGCGTGCATAGAGCGGCCTACCCGTTTCGCCGACATATTTATCACTACACGCTTTGCAAGAGATTAGGTAGACTGTACCTACGCTCATGCAATCACCGTCTCTGCCGTTAGGACATATTTTACAATCTTTCATCATACAGAGACGGTCATATAAGCGGTTGCGAACTAGTTGGCGTTTTAGAGTATTCGGTGGTATTTCAATAATGGCCACCGATTGCTCTAAACCCGCTCTTTTCAAACATCGTTTTATAGCTGTACTAATCTCATTTGAATAGAACGGGATGATAAACGGGACTTTCCTTTCAACTAAGTTTTCGTTCGGAGGCGCATTATTTCCTCTAAATCTAAGCCGAGGGGCTACGAATTCGTATCCATTAGAAGTGGCTATTTCTCGCGCCAGTTTCACGGATTCTACTCTCTGCTCCTCCCCGGTACATACATTGGCTGCTGTTCGAAACATGTTTTTTACTAGCGCCTTCTTCGTATGTGAGGGATGAGAAGAGAGATAGTGAATATTTAGATATTCTTACTACTTGGCTTTCGGTACCACTTCGTTATGTAGCCGCTCTCAGTTAAGCTTATTTGCACGTTCAAGAATGGAAGCCAATCGTCTTTTGGTATCTCACGGGTGAATCTTATATACTCTGACTGTTCATTCAGCAATCTAAAACAATCATCCAGCTCAGGGTAGGCCGCTCTATGCACGCATAGAAGAACACCTAGCTGACAAGCGTCTTAATAGACAAAACACCCCGCTAGGGACGCATAGAGCACAGAAGCACGACGGAGTTGATTTTGAAATCGAAGTCACCATCCTTGCGCAGGAGCAAAAAACATCAGCGCGAAAGATCTTGGAAGCATATTGGATTAATGCGACCAATCCAACCATAAACCGCAGGGAGGAATGCCTTGTAAACACTCGTGATATGAGCCAGTATATAAGACTGTTGTTTTGATGGGTAGGGTGCATTACGAGCCTATGTGTCTCTATTGCCGGTGATCTCCACTTGGATCATCCAGTGGAACACATATAAAAAGCGGTGAGTATGTTGAGTGTTGATTTTTGCTTGATGCGATTGAAATCTAGGTCTGGTGATTTTCTCTAAAGAAGTAATGGAGGTGTTTGACTGATTGTATTGCAAACATTTTGACCTTTCCAGGCTCTGAAGAAGGCGAACTGCCGAAACGTCAGCTATCGAATAATGTTTAATGTAACACCTCGTGTTCTGCTCAAAGAAGAAAATCAAGAATCAGAAAGCCTTAGATTTAGTGGAAACAGAATCGCTTATAGAGGATAATGGATAACCAGGGCGTCCATACTCGTTACATAATGATCCTTCGTGAATCCTTCGTGAGCTCTATAAAGATTTCACGACCAAAATATCTCCATTCTGCAACAATATTACCATTGACGTAGGAAGAGGTTTTCGACAAGGCGATATGATTTCGCCAAAACTATTCACTGCCTCCCTACAAAACGTCATGCGAACATTAGAATAGGACAGTAAGGAGTGAAAATTGACGGTCGACAATTAAACCATCTTCGCTTTGCTGACGATATCGTTTTCACAACACCAAACATCAGCCAAGCGGAACGAATGATGACCGGTACGATAACGCCTGTGGAAAGAGTGGTCTTCAACTAAATCTAGCAAAAGCGATGTTCATGAGGAACGGATGGGTTTTGGATGTCCTATTCATGCTCAACGGAACGACAATTCCCGAATGCTCCAGTTAAGCTTATCTGGGTCGTAAAACATGATGAGCGACGTAGTTCCAGAGTTGAGCAAGAAGAAACAAACGGCTCGAGGGACGTTTAAGAGCATCGAAGATGTAGTGAAGAAGACAAAGGACATCCTGCACCGTTCCCACCTTTTCGACTCGACAATTAACACTGACCTAACGCATGTAGCCGAAACCTGGTCGTTACGTAAGCAGGATGAAAGATCACTTGACGTTATCACACGCGCTGTCGAAAGGTCGATGCGAGGAGTATCCCGTATCTCTCAAATGAGAGAAAGGATCCGAAGTTCCGACCTACGTCAACGATCGAAAATCAAAGACGCCGTTCTACACGCCAGGATATCGAAAATGAGGTGGACAGGACACGTGATGCGCTTCAGCGTCAACCGACGGGCGAGAGCCGTTATCTACTGGATTCCTCTGGGCATCAAACGCATTCCAGGAACATCATTAACCCGCTGGTCCGATTTCTTTGCGAAGGTTATAGAAAAAAGATATGTTGCTCAGCGAATCCTTAGAGCAATGAGTACCCACTGGGCTACTCTTGCACGCGATACGGAAAAATAGAAGTGATGCTGGTACCCGCTCGAATCACCGGCGATCAATGGGACGACAGGTGATACAGGTGATGGACTACGGAGTAGTCCACTGGACTAAGATCCGGAGAGTTTGACGCCTGATTATCCTTACCCGAAACGGATTTGGAAAAAACTCTTGACAAACGGTAATCGTTGAAGGAGCCCAATGCACAGGAGCCCAGTCCTTTTGAGGTGTGAATCGTTCGGCATGAAGTTGTTGACTTCTCTATGGTTCCAGTAGGTCCATAAAACTTGCTCCTGGTAGCTGGCAGCGTTGATCTTGATGTTTCCATTGTTAGAACTGACAGCGT